AAAGTAAATTAGTGTGTTATTTTCGAATTGCATTTTCGCCCCTGCCACCACCGCAGGGCTAAAAGCCACCCCTCGCCTATAAAACAGAGTAAATTTTTCACGCCAGGAATAAATTTTTCCTAGGGCACGCTCTATTTTTCATCTGTTTCCCCAGCACAAGCCTGTCGTGTTTTCAAATATTCATGTGGCTGCAAAAGTAGCTCTCGTTCACGCAATCAGGGCTTGAAATCTGACACACACGGCTCTCATAATTAGCCTTTCTCCATTTATTTCTCCCCACCCACTACCTTATTATAAAATAATAATAATAATAATAATCATGCGTGTGTTGGTTCTATACAAATTCTCCCTATAAAATTTAATTTGTTCCTCCTAGAACATTAGATTTTGTTAGTAAAAATGTAATCAAAGCAAACGGCAAAGTAATTTTGAATGAATTTTCTTTTACATTTTAGTTTATTCAGATTAAACTTCTGAAATTTAATTTTGATATTTTTTAATTGCTCATATTTTTTTAATTTTCTATTAGTTTTCTAATGTGTATTTTTTTTGTTCCAGCTTGAAAAACACTGCGTTTTGGTTTATCATCAAATCGAGACACGGAAATGCACTAACACAGCTAAATAAGTCATAATTGGGCCTAATGCGCTCGGCGAAATTCCATTAAAGAAAATTTTATTCAGAAGGTGCTAAGCGCGTGCAGAGAGAGATGCTGCTTCTTAATTTACGATTTGTGCAGAATCATCGTGCGCAAGTCGGCGCAGGTCGGGCGGCAATTAATTAATTATGCGATGAGTTCGGCGGATAAGACGGAGAGAAAAAGAAAAGTTAAGTGCCCTGACCAATAATTAGGGTGTCAAACTCTTACGTCACAATAGCTGTTAGCCAAACGTCCGCGGCACACACCTGTGCTTCCCTCAAACTTTTGGACGACGAGCATGTAAAACTCCTCTGCTCTGATGCAGGGTGCATATTTTGAAGCGGAAGTGGTGTTTCAAAAGTTACAAGAGATATTAAAACTCAACTATTTTCAACACATTTTCATGGGCATTAAATTATTTGAATAAATGTCTCTTGTTGTGATTTCTTGTTAAAATATTTTTTTTAACGAAGAAAATATAATAAAATTTGAAATGTATTTAAATATTCAGAAAACATCAAAATTAAGATTATTTCTTGCTTTTTTTTATATCAAAAAGCGACTAAAACAAAAATTTTGTCGCTTTTTTCAGATGAATCCCTTTGTTGGCCTTTGCATGCTGGACTTGCTTTCTTTCTTTCAAGAGGTTAAAGATCGAGTCATCTACGTTGGCTCGCCCGTGGCCATAAATCTAGAGAGTCTATCTGGAAGTATCCATCTATTCTGCGGGGCGAAGCAGCCAATGATCGGTTTTTGCGATGATTTATTCTGGTGCATCTGGCCAAGTGCACTTTGGCCCCGGGCCACGGACCCATTCATTTCTCGCGCGCGGTGGCTTTGTGGAGAGCAGACTCGGCAAATAATGCAATATTACATAGAATTTAGCCACTAGCAGGATCTACGCTCACTTCACTCCAGATAAAGCAATTTAATTTCCACGCTGGGGGAGACTTATGTGTTTTATATTGCGCGCTCGCATAAAAACATATATTATTCTCTGCTCTCTGTGCTACACGGAGGCTGGAACTCTGCGCAGACGACAGACCTCTCTAAAAAACACATTTCCGACTCGTATTACAACTAAACCATATCACACTTGGCGCGCTTTTGGAACAAATCCACACCACCAGTTTTGTGTCTGGCCTGTAAAAAACGATTTTATAATAGTTAAAAAGTCATTCTTTTGAAGATTCCGAAATTCTATAAACATTATGCATACTAAAATATTAATTGCCTATTGACAAATTTAAATTTTGTAGCATCAATGCTAGAAATTAGAAATATAAATAAATATTGCGACTCATTATTTATTCTTAGATAAATAATTATGCGTCGTTTTTTTTATGAAAATTGCATAATATTTTTGTAGATTTTTCATTAATACTAAATTTAAAACAAATAACAATAATGTTTAAAATCCTGAAATAAGTTTCATATGTTGTCAATTTCAATTTAATTAATTTTATAATAAATTTATTTAGTTTTACAGTTTTAAAACTTTTAAAATTTTTGTTGCTTTTTTCCTAAGATTCAACAATTTTACTCTTCGTTTCAACAACCTATTTGACAGCTGTTTGAAGGTTCTCAAAATGAAACCAGCCAGCAGTTTTCACCTCCCATGCCGTCGGAAGCATGACTGAAAAATAAGATGTATCCACACGAGCGTGCAACTCTTTCATCACGGACCGTGTGCGCAAGCGCTCACTGATTTGAGTCTGCATCAGATTAAAGCCAAGGTGGAATTAAAGTTTTGCCAAACAAGAAACATCCTCTCCCGGAAAGATCTTGTCTGCGCACATGTGTAATTTGAAATTTGAAGAAATAAATTTTTCCGCACTCATTTTGTCTCAATTTTTCTCTCCTCCGCTCAATATAAAAAGGTTAATTCGAATCGCAAGAGGGTCGTTTATTTTTCCTCCTTGTGAAATTATTATTACGACCGTCTGGAGAGCAATCAAGCTTGATCTGGCCAGGGTGCAGCGAGAGTGGAGGCGAAAAATCTCTCCTCTCTGAAAGAAGCACCGCAGCCCCCGCAAAGTCGCAGCCGTCTTTCCACATTATTACTCTAAAGACTGATATTTAAGCATATGCCACGTTGGCAATTAAGACAGGCACAAAGGTCGCTTGAAGATAAAATTGCATATTAAAAACTTATTGATCTTCTTGATCAAAGACTTTGAAATTTTCAACGTAAAATTTGTTTTGCTTTATAATTTTGTAAATGAAATTTAATCTGGAATTCGGAAATTGATGGCGCTGAAAAAAATCTGATGATAAATAATATTTCTTTCGTGATCAGTTTTTAATTATTTCAAAAACTGGATCTTTGAATATTAAATTGCTTGTATTTAAAATAATTTCACACTCAAAATTTACTCGTAAAATTGAATAAAATCATTGCGAACGCCAAGACTGGGGGGTTTGAACTGGCAAAATGTAATACAATTTTCTGCCAATACTTTGGATCAAACATATCAGGTGTTTTATATAATTTTCTGACACCAGTGGACCCACGGTTTTCCCTATTTCAAAAGACTTTTGTCGCACCTAAAATTAATCCAAAAGTGGTCATTGGCACAAAATTGTGATATATTTGACCAGTTAAAGCCATCAACCTTTTTAAGACCTTTTTTAAATTAAAATTTTTATGGCAGTCATTGAAGAAAGCTTGATTCTAAAATTAATAAAAATTTCAGAAAAATAAACTTAATGCACCAATAAAACGGAAACTTAATAAAATCGTGCATTAAAAATAAAATAATCAAATTCACATTGATTTTATGGACGAGCTTTGAGCTTTCATCGATTTAAATAGCACAATAATTTGTAATTATTTATTTTCTTTCCACTTTTCTAGTTTTTCACACATATATATTTTTCGACTGGCAGTCAAACATCAGATCTAAGACGGTTGGGGAGAAGTAGTGCTCGGAGTGAGAAAATAAAAGGAAATAGCCATTCGAGCTTTTGCGTCTAGCGTTGGGTCCCAGGAATGACTGGGCACATTTTGACCAACACCAGTAGCCCCAGCACGAATAACACACAGCGCATTATATGTGTTTTCGCCTCTGCTTCTTTTATATCTGCGCGTGGTTTTTATGTATTTGGCCCTCGGGCCATTTCTGTATGTAATATGTTTAATTCAGCTGCCTTGTGTGCAGCTCACACACATCAAATTAACTTTCGTCTCTCCGCGCCGAAATCGCATCAATCCCGGCAGTTTTTCCTTTGCGCGCTTTTCGATTCGCGGCCATGCACTTTCCTCTCGCGTGTGGAATTAATTTTTGAGCCGTGGAATTAAACAATTTGGGAAATAAGAAAGCGGCCGCGGTCTTATATATTGGAGGCGGCGTTCCCCTTTTGTTTTTTTCATTTCATGCTTTAACTTGACACCTCGCATCAATCAGTGGGAAAATATTTATTGCCGTAATTATTCAAAAATATTCCCAGCTTGAAAACAAAACAGCGGCCGCTCTCTTAAATTATAATATAGACATGGACAAAAAATTATTTTAATATTAACCCACAAATAATATAAAATTTTCATTTCCTTTTCCCTTCTTTGGAATACGTTTTTTATTTTATATATATCTGTGAGCTGATGAGAAGTCCTGTGCAATAATTTGTCATAGTCCCGCATCCTCAGTCAGCACTCTCTGTGATAATCTTTTCAAAAATCATATTTATTTGTATATATTTACATTGGGAAGCGTGACACGGCTAAAATTAATAGTTTTATAAACTATAGAAGCGGCGCGAGTTTTACTGCTTCATCTGGTGTGGCTTTGTACATTTCATTTTCGTGCATGGCCACACACAAAAGAGCGGTCCAAACACCTTCGCTCCATTCTTCATTCGGACACGCATATATATATTTACTAACAGTGTACGTTTTAATACCTCCATTTAGCGTTTTGTCCGCGATAATAGTGCCTTGTCATTGCTAGCTGCCTCGATTTTTTGTCCGTCAAGGATATCTCGCGTATGAATTAATTTAAAACTTAACCGTCGACGGGAGTCACTTGTGCCGCCAACAGCGAAAATAAATTTTATTTTATTATAAAATGCAAAAGCTCAGCTCCTCAGTAATAATTTTTGAATACTGTCGTGTCGTACATTCAACAAAATATGTTAATTATTTCAGCAGTTCTGGAAATTGATTGATAGGAGATTAAATGCTTTTTAAGGAAAAAGGTGAATGATCCGCGCTGTTTCATCCCTCCGTAAAACGAATTTTTTTATCATATTTTTCTTCTTGCAAATTTAATATTAAAATTTACTGAAGTGACCATTTTTTTAAAGTTTGAAATAAGATTAATTGATTTTTGTTTAAAGAAGTTTGAAATAAATTGGGACTGACTGTGTCTGTTTGAGCGTCCAGATGAGCCGCGCCTGTGGTCTTCTGGCTCATTCTCGGTCTCACTGTCCATGTAAATGCCACGCAGCTCTGCGGACAGACAGACCAACCCGGTTTGAATTTAAATTTGTCCATCTCTTAGATTAAAATTAAATAATAAAAAAAATATGGATGATTTTATAAAGTGATTTCTGTGGGTCTGTGTTGTCCACACGTCAAAATAATGGGTGTGTCCATTTGAGCTCTTATGTCTTTCTTTTCTACTCTCTATATTTTTTTGGTGGTTTTCCACTACTTTCTACAACGCGACGGAGACAGCGAGCCAAAATAAGAACGTCTCGGGCGAGACGTGGGCGCTCAGAGTGAGACTTTTAGGATTGACACCAGGGGTGAGAGGGGGTGACAAATTGCCTCGAGAGCGCCCCCGAGGACCCTGCTGCTGCTGTGCAGTGCATTCACACATTTACACACGCTGACCAGGCATTTGTCAAGACAACAATCGACCGCATCAACAATGCAAGTGTGCAGGAAGAAAGACCAATTCCAATAAAATGAACTGAAGAAAGCATTGCTGTTTTCCTTATTTGTCCAGTCGAGAATAATGTGAAAGAATAGTATTAATACAAGTCAGTATTATTTACTATAATAATCGCCTAATCTGTATCACTTTAGTAAAATTAACTTCAAATTTCACTGTACCAATTTCACTTCACCTTATTTATTATATATAAAATAAATAGAAATTTTAAAATATAATTGAATTAATGGTTTGAAAAAATATTTCATCAAAAAATGAGGCTCGTTTCGGCATGAGACTTCTTCTTGATTTCGAGTGTTTTAGCAAAATGTTTGCTAGAGGCGGCGCCTTTTCTTGTCCAAGAACATTTCCCTCCCAAAAATTGTTATCTCAATTTTTCTTTGTGATCTGTGCATATAACATGTATGTAATATTTGTCGGACAAGAATAAACAACAACAATAATAATAATAATAATTTTATTTAAAGTTTTGTGATTATTTTGCACAACTTTTAAATAACTTTAATATAATAAATAAAAAGCGAAAAAAATATGTTTTAATGTTTAGAATTCTTGCTTAATTCCATAATGTTTTATATTATAAATACAAAATTTTAATCCAAATTTTTACTTTTTTACAAATATTGATTGATTCAATGTCAGAGCTCTATGAAAAAAAAATTATTTCTGGCAGTATAAATAAAAAGTTTTAACATAAAGAATAATAATTACAAAATCAAGTGGGAATCAATTTGTTAAAACTATTTTTATAATTTTCTTTATTACAATGCAAATTGAGTTTGAATTAATTTTATAAATAAAAAGAAATACAAAACATTATTCCCAAAGTAAAAATAATGTTTAATCCCTCATGTTTCTTATGCAATTTTTAATCAATCTTTCTCTTACCAATTTTTTTCTCCTGCCGTCTTTTCTTTTTCTTTTCCTATGGCTATATATTTTTGGCCTGCGAGAGTTCCCAGACGGAAATTTTGTTTCTTTTGTTTCGGCGCACCCCAAGATGCAATAAAAGAAATTTCTCTCTCTCTCGCCGATGATGACACTAATTTTTCATCGGGCCGAGTAATCATTAGCCCTCGCCCTGGGGGATGAACCGCAGAGATGGATAGATACAAATTTATATACAGCACCGCCAGACTGTTCTCGCTTCGTACAGCTGGCGCAGCAGGCAAAGCAGTGACGCAAAAAATCATCAAGACTGAACCCCTGGCCAAAAAAAAGAGAGACTGCTGCTGCTGTGGCCCCCACATGAGTTTTGTATTGGGAATCAATGCTCTCATGCTCTGTTTCAAAATCGTTTTATTTTTTAATGTAAATCAAAAAGAAAAAATTCATTATAAATATATTTTGAATGGCAAAATTTGGATTTAAAAAATTATTTTCATTTAGAAGACATAAGAAGATTTTTATTAATTTTAAAAACTTATATTTTTGACAGTGATTTTTTGCTCTCACACTTTCATATAAACATTAAATTTTTTATTTTGCCTTGCGACATTTCAATCTGGCCAAGCGTGAAATTCTGAAATTCGAAGCGGCAGACAAGTCAAACAAATAACGAAATGATTTGTGTATATCGAATGGTCGCCGGAGCCGAAATTTCCCGTGTGCGCTTTGAAATAAAGAGATATGCCAGCGTGGCGAGAAATAATGCTTTGAAGGTTGCCGCCGCGAGATTGGACACTGATTTGAATGAGTAAATTAAAAGGAGCCGCCTTTTTCTGAGGATCGCGCGCCACACCAGGCGAGCGCCGCATTTCAATTTATTTATTTGATTGTGCTCTTGCTTTGTCCTCAACCATAACAACGATCATCGCATCTCGCGCTTTTTGTTAGGTGTGTGGGTAAGTGCATGGGAAAAACGCCTTGAATAAGGGAGGCAGCGTTCTGGATAGTCATATTCCAAGACAAGCAGGAAGTTGTAATCAAATTGAAAATTATTAACTCGCAAAGTTTAACATGAGAGGGTATTGAATAAAATGAATTTAAATAAAAAGGTAAATAAAAAGTACATTCCTTGGAGTTATATATTGGTAAACAGATTTATCAGTTGGTTACAAACCTCCATTTTTATTTATAAATTTTCAATATATATTAAAATTTCCAAGTTTTTATTTGAATACAAAATTCTTTGCAAGAATTATTTTAATTTGCAATAAACGCGAAAATAAAACAATTAAAAAGCCACAAATATAGGGATAAGTATTTTAAAATTATTAAGACACTTAAAAAAAAAACAATATTTATATACAAAAATTGTGTTGTTTTTAGCGTTGAAATTTTATATTTTTTAATTGAAATGATCCACCGACAGAATTAATTTTCCAAATTGTATCACAAATTTTCGTTTCAGATATTATACTGTGAACATTATTTTAAATTTTAAACTTTGTGACACATTATTTCTTCGTCCCCAAAGCCGACGCTATATCAATATGGTGTGCGACACAATTAAAGAGCGATAACAGTAATGAAGGAGCTTCTGCTCTCGCAGCTCCACTCGATCTCGTTTTCTCTCTCTCAAGTTGGAGTCTTTCCAAAGAGGGGGCTGAAAAAATAACGCGAAACCACCCCCGGGGCTGCAAGCGGCTTTGACAAAGATTATCTCTCTCTCTTCGTTTTCCTGCGTTCTCTGCTCGGGCCGACGAACGAGTTTCGCTTCTTTCTCTATTAAAAAAGTTTTTATTAAAAGCGGCTCGTATTTGCATATGCATTATGCATGCCGCAGAATTAGCCGCGGCGGCACTGCTGCAGTCGCGCTCTGCATCGGCGAGTTCAAAGCGAGAGAGGACAATGCGGCCGCTGCTGTTTCACACTTCACACCTGATTCCGGACTCAATGCGCCGCTTTCAAACGCCAACACACGCGGTTAATTCAATTTGGGCGCCGCACGATCTCTCTGCTCAATCTTTTAAGAGGGAAAATGCCCAGCGAATAACCAGCAAGGCTGGAATTCTTAATACGATTTGGAGTGGAAAACTTTCGATTAACCCTCCAAGCAAGGATTTCAAAACGAAAGAAAAACAAATTTTAAAATATTTATAGAGAAAAGGTTAGAAAATTACATATCTTAACATTTTCATTCATAATTTATGGTGTTTGTACATCAATATTTTTTATCTTACAAAGTCTCAACTAAAAGAATAATTGCAAAATTAATATTAAATTTATTCCCTTTGTACAAAAATAAGAAATAAGCATTATAAGCATCATGCACTTCGAAGAAAAAGCCCAATAATTTTTTTTACTGCTAATACAAAAACGCGAAAATTTAGATGAAGAGAAAAAGTGGGTTTTGATCATTTTAAACCAATTAAGAGGACGAGCCGGTCTACTTCTGTAAGCCTGAAATAGAGAGGTAAACTCCTCTTACAATGGAGCTCTGCTCTTTTTAAAAACAATCAAGATGATTCTGGTTCAATTCAATATTGAAGTTAAGAAATATAATTTGATATTATTGTGTATTTTTGTGTGTGCAGAGAAAACTTGTTCATCAATTTCAATTTCTTTCAAGTAAACAAATATGTGTAACTAAAATTATAATTAACTCTGTTATATGACCTATAAATCAGAAGAAGAGAATTGATCTTTAAACAAATCTCAATTAATTATATTTGTTATTGGTAAAACAATTTATAATACAAATAATAGTTTTTTTCGCATTGACAAACTTGTCAAAGCGAAGTAAAAACTTTATTTAAATTTACAACTTGAATTTTTAATTATAAAATGCAACAAATAACCTAAAAATAAAAATTTAATTAAACAAAAAATGAATATATATAAATATTCTTAAAAATTTAATTTTAGTAAATATTTTTATAGTTTAACATTAATTTATATAAAAAAGTTATAAACTTAAAGCTCCTTGAATTATTTTTCTGAATTTAAACCGGTTATATAATTGATCTTTAATGCAGAGATTACAGCTTAAAATTTTATATTATATATATTTATTATTTTAGAAGCCACTACAAATTTCATGAAGTGCGCGAGTGAGTAATGTTGGTTGGCAGGGGTTATTCACTTATATAAAGTGGAACGCTTGCCCTCTTTGAAATAAATCGCCGGCGCAACAAAGTCCACGTGAAACGTGCCGAGTCAAAGGGTTGGGGGATGTCTGGCCATTTGACTGATGAGTTATAGCCCGACTGCGTGTATAAAGTAGGTGCCGAGGGGACAATTCTATCGCGGGCGCGAATCTAGATGTTTGCGCATCTCTTACCCAGCAGCACTAAGTCGGCTGCTCATCTCTCTCTCTGGAAAGCTCATTGCTCTCGCAGTTTGATACTCCTATTGATAAGCCACTGCGTACACCCGAGGAAAGGAAAATCGATCAGCGCAGAGAGAAGAGGGATTCAATTCACGTCAGGACGTGGCTTTCCAGCAGCGGCACTTAATGGCAGCTTCGGGTGCAAACAAAAGGTTCACCGCCGCAAAATCTTATTTACACAAAAAAGCTTAAAATTGTCCTTATATAAAAACGAATCGTTTCTTTCTAAGAATCTTATTGTTTTGAGAAATGATTTTTTTTAAACTTATTTTAGAGGGA